GGTCATTAAGAATATTAGCGACCTGTGAAGGTTCTTTTACGATTTTGTTGCTCTTATTCGGGTCCTTAATAGCAGTTATAATTTTGGTCTTCTTTCTGCGATGCAAGACGTCATTTATTCCTTCCCATGTCTTTTTCATGTTTGTTTTGTGGCGTTCGAAATAATCCTGATAGTATATCTTTTTACTTAGACGTATCAGGCTACAAATTTTGTTTCTATAATATTTGTATTTGTCTTCGTCACCGGACACATACAATTTGTTTTTAACCATAATGGATGCTTTTAATCCAGTAGTACTCCAAGGCTTAGAAAGCTGTTTGGCTTTACGCTTTGATAACTTTGTAATGGGAGCATGTTTGTTTACAATCTTATTAAATTTCTTATAAAAAGTTGAAAATAATTTGTCTGGATCAGTTGCATTATTTACGAGGATACATTCCCAGTCAACCTCAGAGAGTTCCCTATTGAATTGGTCTGCGGAAAAATTAGAAAAATCGCGTATCTTGGTAGGGTACCCTCTATATTTATCTCTTTCTGCTTTGATTATGCAAAATTGAGAGAAGTGATCGCTAATGTCGGAGATGATGTTACTGCTGAGAAGTATTTGGTCAGGGTTGTTTAAAAAGATATTATCAATTAACGTAGCTGAGTTCCTATGGACTCGAGTGGGCTTATCAACTGTTGGAATGAGATAGTAACTTTGTAAGGACATTGAGAAGTCATGGCTAATTTGAGATGTTTCGCATTTCAATAGATCTATGTTGAAATCGCCCATGATAAATACATTTTATTAAGAGATGTCAATTTTTCGATGGTTTCTTCAAAGTAAGACATGAACTGATCCGGAGAATTGTGTTGGCGATATATTATACCACAGACAATGTTTTTGTTATTTGCAAAAGATATTTCAATCCAAAGGGCTTGAAAAGCTTCATTAGAGATCTTTTCTAAAACTGTGTAATTTAGTGATTCGTGAATGAAAAGGCCAACACCTCCAGATGCTAGAGGTGTTGGGACAAAGTCGAAAACATATCCCGGTATGCAAGAAAAAGACCCGTTCTCATTTAAATTGAAAGTCTAGTTCATCCAGTAGTAATGTTAAATTCTCCAAATTTTGGTTAATGCTTATAACATTATTGTGAAAAACTGGAAAACTGGATTGAACCTTACTGTTGGATAGCTTTCTACTAAATAATTTGAAACTATGCGGGGATAAGTATCGACATTGTGTGTGATCATTATTGTTATTATTTAATTGACCGTCAAGATTAGTAAATAGATCTAGATCAAATAAGCTGGATAATTTATCTAGATGTCTCCTACACTGGGAAGTAGTGGACACCGAATTATTAAATTGGCCATGAAAGAGGGCTAAATTGCCTCTAAAAGTAAAGTAAGGCAGCTCTTTGAGTGTTGATCTTTGAGCTTTTTCTTGGACCTTATTTCTACGGCGTAACTTCATTTTAAGCTAATTTAAGCGATAGAGCGAAGAAGGTTTTCAGAATTACCCTGCTTAATGCAACTCTAATATCTCAAAGTACTTAGCTTATCGTGACTCCCTCAAGTTAAGGTGTCCGCTTAAGTGTGGTGTTGCACAAACTACAGTCAGCTCTCAGATGGAAACTATTGGGACTGGCACAAAATGTCTGTATTAATGGACAGGTGTAACTCTTATAAAGAGTAAAAGAAAATGACTGAAGAATAGTAGGAACCAACTCGATTTCCTGGAGGTGCATTATCTTTTGATTGTACTATTGTATAATATTTCTAGCATTATATCCTCTCTCTTAATATTATATATTGTAGACAAGGAAACAGGAAAGTATTTTTTGAATCAAGTTTGATTAAGCCTGGCTGCAGTTAATAAATTTATCCAAGAATGAAATTGAATCATGCTGGATATGAAGCATACAAGTGTGTTAGGGTTGGTGGTCACACTAAAAAGTTTGTTTTTGAATGGTCTAATAGCTGTTACAGGCCATTTGTATTTCATTTGTGCATAATTCTGTATAATTTTCTTGTTTGCAATATACTTTTGAATTTGTATGTTATATAAGTTTTATGTTGTATCTGTAAGATATATATATATTTATTAAAAACTGAATCATTGGATAATGCAATTCTAGCATTTTGATTGGCTTAGCCGTTATGGTATATGAGCTATTATACCATGTTCTCCATATATGGTCGGTGTACGCATCAGTTTAAAATTGGAAGCTAACTGAGATTTTTTTTTCGCGAAGGATAGAACGGCGCCCGAAGCAAATCGTTTTAATTCATTTCGTAGAATACTAGAAATGCAATTTCAACGAAAGAAAAAAGACAAAAACAAACAAAAAAGCCACAAGAGCTTGTTTGAAAGTTTGTCGAAAAACACATGAAAACACATGGAACTAAAGTACCTTGACCAGCTACGAAAGAAGACAAGTGTTGTTTCTTCATGATCGCGAAGCCATTCGCCGATCGAGTCACTCGCCGATAGATAACTGCCGCTTGTTTATCCGACATCAAGAATATAAATCACAAGTAACCAGCTACAAATACAGGCTATGCTGCCATTCACTAGAGCAATCGAGGCGGCAGTACAACTTCTTTTCTCGTTTAGCAAAACCAGCTTGTGGCTTCAAACAACTTCATAACAAGCGACCGAGGTAATACCGGTAGTTTTTCTCCGTTGTTCTTACTTTTATAACTGCACCGAAAATCCAAATTCATAGTAATTTCGACGACTGTCACTTAAAAATTCCTTTCCTTCACATTATCTGCCAGGTTTTTTAAGCTGTTCTGCTGTGTAAAATCCTAGAATCACGATGAGTTTTTAAAAAACAAGTGTTCATCGCCCAATGGTTTGATTTTTCATTCATGCAGTCTAGGCGAGCCCGTTCGCGCGTTGACAGTTTTGATAGACGTGTGACATGTCAATAGCGGAAGTCCCTTGCCTTTTCCGGTTTGTTCTAGTCGGGGCGATTCAACGAGATTTTGTGGGCGTTTTTAATAAAACAATTATTCCACTCGGGCTTGTTGGATATGAAATGATTATAGCCAACTCGGCGCTATGCGCCTCGTTGGCTATCTATCATCTCATATCCAACGCGCCCTCGTGGAATAATTGTTAAATATATATATATATATAGCGATGTTTTGTTTCAATGTAAGACTAGTGAATGTTTAGTTTCTTTCAAGTTCCTTGGTATGTCTTGCGTGGGTACTTTTCAGTGACCATTTCATTACAAAAAGCTGTTATTATCAAAAAAAATATTTGCTGGGCTACTTATTTGTGTTCTTGCAACCTCTTTGTTAGTTTTTCAAGGGCAGTGAATTATACTTTTTTCACATACTTATTCTTCATTACACAGTAGTATTAGTGTACAACTTAAAAAATAATGATACTTTTATTATATTTTAAATTTACCCGGACTTAGGTTTTCACAATCTGTCCAACTGTAATGCTCAATATTGACCTATATGAAAAAATCTCCCTTGCTCTTGATCGCAATGAACATGCCGTTGGCGTTTTCCTTGATCTTTCTAAGGCCTTTGATACCGTCGATCATAATATTCTGCTTGACAAACTCAAACACTGTGGTATACGTGGCGTGGCTCTGGACTGGGTTAGAAGCTACCTCTCCAACAGGTTGCAATTCGTTCAATTTAACGGTCAATGCTCCTCTCCACAAACTATCCGCTGTGGTGTCCCCCAGGGATCCATTTTGGGCCCCTCGTTTTTCTTGCTCTATATTACTGATTTAAATAACGTATTTTATTCGCTGGTGATACTAATTCATTTATATCCCATAAAGATCCTGTCTACGTGGCAGCCTCACTCAATTCCGAACTTAATAAATTACTCACTTGGTTTAAGGCAAACAAACTCTCCTTAAACCTGAAGAAAACAAACTTTATGTTATTTAAGCCTAGACAGAAAAGGTATCATTTTCCAATGCAAATATGCATAAGTGAACAGAGAATCGAACAGGTTAAGGAAACGGTCTTCCTCGGTGTAATCCTTGATGAACATCTGTCTTGGGAACCGCACACTTCCCAAGTAGCTCGTAAAATCTCGAAATCAATAGGAGTCATTAATAGAGCAAGATTTTTTCTACCTAAACCGTGTCTAAAAACTCTTTATTATTGTTTAGTTTATCCTTATCTTCATTATTGTATTATTGTCTGGGGATCTACGTACAAAACCAATCTTCGCCGTCTTGTCTCTTTGCAAAAGCGAGTTATCAGAATTAATTGTAAATCAACTTTCGATTCTCATTCAGACCCTATTTTCAAAGAATTAGAGCTACTAAAACTTTCCGATATTAGACAACTAGAATTGGGTAAACTTATGTTTTCTCTTAACCATTCTCTTTTGCCTTCAAAGTTCAACAATTATTTTTCTTTAAACAAACAAGTCCATAGCTATGCCACTAGATACGCGAAAGATTTTCACCTTCCTTTTTGTAGAACAAACCTTCGTAAATTTTCTTTCAGTTTCCAAGGACCTACCTATTATAACTATTTAGGTCACGAAGGTGGAACTATATTCAATACAGATATTTGTTCGCGGGGGAAAAATTGAACAAAACAAAAAACGAGAGTGAGAAAAAATAATTTCTTCCTTCGCTATTGCTTGCAGCAAATGAATGGCCCCGGATAATGGCTAACTTTCGCTGGATATTCTCTCTGACGTTCCAGTATAATGTCCGCCATCTTGTTTTGTCTCTTTGGTAGTACCCAGACCCTTGCATCACAGCTAGAGCGCTCGACCCCGCTCGTTTCAACGCCCTAGCTTCTTACGCCCTGCTATTATTGGAACCTGAGGCGCGGAGTTGCGGAAAATTAATTCAGCGTCTTAAAAAGAACAACGAGAGGAGCATAGAAAATGGCTTGCCGTGTCTTATTATTCTTTTGTTATTCTGTCAAGATGCAAATGAACATGGGTGTTGTTTCTCCGAAGTCCTTCAAGTTCGTAATTCCACCCTGTTCAGCAGTTGTGGCGGCCAGACGACTTGAGTCTTTTATCAGAGAGAGAAAGAAATCGTGAGTTTGAACTGTTCATTTTTGCATTTTATTTCACGTTAAGTCATCATAATCGATTACCACACATTTAACTACAGTCCAAGGTAGTGTGGATCAACAGTTTCTAGGTTCTTGGTCGCCAGTCTTAAGATGAAGCTAAGCCCCAAAAGTTATGTAACATAAGCAAACTAAGGACAAATTCGGAGAGTCTTGCTATTTCAATATAGTGAACAAGAGTATAAGAGCATTTCTGCACAAGGGAATAATACTATCGAATACATTTTAAGCTATAGTTTAAGCAGGGAACGGGTGGTTTACTGTCTGTTATCAAAGTAAACTTCACGTATCAAGATGTCTCACAGAAACACAACGGTGGACTTCGTTGTGACTACGACTAATATATTGGCTACATCGTTTCTCAGAAGCATGTATAATTGATAGTGAAAACAAATCGAGATTTCTTAAATCACCGGGGTGAATAATCATCTTATCATTTCTTGGGGGCGATATAGTTAACACTATTTCGTGAAATCTACGCGGTATAGACGCGAAAGTGAACGTTTGCTTTTAACTGATCGAGTTAATAGCCAGGCACCGACGGTGCCGACATTTTTAAATGAGCTCAAACACAAGGAACAGTGACTAGTTTAATAAGAAACTGTTGAGCTTCGTTGGCTAAGACGGTTTATTACGTCGAGTTGAAAATCAAATTTAGTGTTTCAAGGATAAGCAATATCGTCTCGCGTAAGCAATATGGTGGTGTAGGTTGTTCCATGGAGGCAGCCTCGGGTGTTTTCAGGGCGAAATGGCAATAGTTTAGCTGCTGAGGTAACTTTTACGGCTGCATATGAAAAAATAAAATGTCATACTGTTGCGATGGACTAATTATGTGCTTTACTATAGAAAAAACGTTGTCCTTACAACCTCCACTTATCAATCGCCTTTGGAATGGAATGGACTCGACTAAAGGAATGTTTAGGACTCGACTAAAGCTCGAAATAAGCCCATCAGATAGTTGTCTTAAGGGTTTAAATCAAAATTTCCGACGAGCATGTCCTTGGCAGTAGGACAATTTCTGCTGCCTAAAATATTGATCACTAGCTACGATAATACAAGACAAGTAACTTTTGCTTTCGTCTTTCGTAGCTGAGTTTACATTATACTGTCACAATTCTTCATTTGTTAGAAGTAGCCACGTAGATTCTACATTTTACTTTCATTTTCCATTTAATTTTGCGTTCTTTACCTTATAAAATTGGAGTCCTTCATTGTTGATTCTGGGTTTCCAAGAAACTCAGGAAGCAACTGTTCGCTGTGTTTTATATTTCAGTTATTAATGTTAGCCATTGATTTCAAACTGATTAAGATCATCAGACTGAAACTGTTCTTGATACTTTCACACCAAGAAACTCATGAAAACCATCTTCCATTATCTAACAGTCGGTTTTATATTTTAAGTTATTTTTGTTTATCATCCATATCTGAATTTGACTTAATAATGCTTTCTCAATTTTCAGCTGTTTTATTTATTTATTTGTTCAATTTAATTACACAGACTGAATCAAAATAATGCATATAAAAATCAAATGAAGAAAAACCTAGTATATAAAAGTGATATCTGCCTAATAAGGACAGTTAATAATAATATAGAACACGAGGAAAATGAAGAAAGCTATTTAGAAGAAAATTCAAATCCTAAATATAAATTCACAGAAAAACGTATATGCTAAAAATAGTAAAAAATTATAAAAATCTTTCCTTATAAGGAAAGATTTTTATAATTTTTTACTATTGAACTATGGAATTGAACTTGTCAATACAAAATTCATTAACTTTCTAACTAAACAAAGATAACTGATTATTCTTATTGCTACAGACAGGCCATTCCATAAATCTACAATACGACTATATAAAAACTATTTACATAACGCTCAAGTTGACTTGATTTGATTAAAAATTCTAATACTATACGTTAAGGACTTGAAACTAACATACAACTGGGACAATTTAAAAAAGGAAAAATCTAAAACTTCCCTTCTAAACTCGAGAGGCAAAAGACCGTAATTTGACTAAACGTTTAGGCCAGCCTAAGTCAAATAGGCTGATTTAGCAACAGAACGGGAACGTCAGTTGACGAAGGGGCGTGCAAATCAAACAACTGGCTTGAACAATGGCAGAGTGGCAATTTGGGACTGGAAGTCGAGTTTAGTCCTTTCCGTGCGTTTTCCCGTCGTCAACTGACGTTCCCGTTCTGTTGCTAAATCAGTCTAATAATTTGGTTGCACGTCTTTGAACGTGCTCTATGGTCATGATTTTTCATTTTGTTATTAAAGTGACCAGACTTGTGAAGCGTACTCTAATTTTGTACGCACCAACGATTTATGGAGACAATTAACAAATATTTTTTTTTATCACATTCACTGGTGCACGTTCTATATAAACAAAGCCAAGCACTTTATTTGCTCTAACTGACGATTAAATCAATATGATCATTCATTGATAGCGTTTAGGAAATGTGGACACCAAGATCTTTCTCAATTGTTACATCTGTAATTCGCGATCTAGCCAGATTGTATGATGTTTGCAGTATACTCTTCTTCTTTGTAATAACAAAGTGCTTACACTTTCTGATGTTAAAGTTCATGAAGTGATCAGAACTCCAGCTATTTAAGCTTGATAGGTGACTCTGTAATTGCCTTACATCAGAATAATCAGTAATAAATCTATAACATTTCATATCATCTCCATTTAACTGAACAGTAGTCGTACAAGAGTCAGTAACACTTGGGGTAATATTATATGGAAGTAAATCATCGCAGTTATAGACGCAACTTTTGCAGTTGCGAAAAGAAGGCCTGAAAAAAAAAATCAGGCTTGTACGGGATTCGAACCCTTGACCACTGCTATACTGGTGCAACGCTCTAACCAATTGAGCTATCAAGCCAACTGGGAGCAGGTCGTTGAATTGTTTCGTTATAAACCCGTGAAAGGATGATGATGAAGTTATGAATATATGAAAGTCATATATGAGAACTGCGGGTTGAAGAATTATATGAAAGTAGATCATCACAGTTACTGCTACTGATCTACTTTCATATAATTCTTCACTCCGCAGTTAACATATGACTTCCATATATTCACGACTTCATCATCATACTTTCACTGGTTTATAGCGAACCAATTCAACGACCTGCTCCCAGTTGGCTTTTTAGCCCAATTGGTAAAGCGCTGCACCGGTATTGCAGAGGTCGAGGGTTCGAATCCCGTACAAGCCTGAATTTTTTTCAGGCTTTCTTTTCGCAACTGCAAAAGTTGCGTATATAACTGCGATGATCTACTTTCATATAATTCTGCACCCCGCAGTTCTCATATATGACTTTCATATATTCATAACTTCACTTGGGGTAATGTTTATATAGATGTTAAACAACAGCGGTCCTAAAGTGGACCCTTACGGTGAATCAGATAAAACAGGTAGCCAAATAGATGACTGACCATCGATAACTGTCCTGTGCCAGCGATCTGTCAAGTAACCTCGATTCTAAACCAGGAGAGCGAATTCCCTCTTACACCAACAGCAAACAATCCCCTCAGTAAACAGTTTTTAAACAGTTTTTTGAGTCAAGTGCCTTGCTATAATCCAAAAATACTGCATCAAGCTGATTTTTCTTATCCAGTGAATGGCAAAGTCCTGTGTAGATCTAAGAAGACTGGTAACACACGAGCGTCCACTTACAAAACCATCCTGTGAATGGTAAAGATTAGGCTGAAAAAAGGGAAAACACTTGAGAAAATACATTTTTCCAACACTTTAGAAACAACACTCAGTAATGATATTCCTCTCTAGTTATCCACGATCTCTTTATCACCAGACTTGAAATTTGAAACAAGGATTGTTAGAAGTACTCATGCAGATTCCACTTTGTTTTCTATTATTTCTTTCTTTCACATACAAAATTGAGCTCCTTCATTCAAATTTGGGAACTTACGCTTTCGAGGTTTTCATCAGACTTTGGCTGTTCTTGATGAATAAAAATAATAAAAGCGGTTTTCAGCTGCTGTTAGAACTTCCCAAATAGATTCTTCTTTCCTGATTTTTTGAAAATTCAGGTCATTTGATTCTCTATCCCGGGTTTCAGTAGAGACTCTGGAAATCATGTCTTTATGTAACTGTCGGTTTTATTATTAATAAGTAGTTATGAAAGCCTATGCTTTCTAGTTTTTTGTTTTAGCCTGGGTTCTCAAGAAACTCCTGATATTAATCTAATTAATATATATTTAAGTTAATTCACACAAAAGTTTATATCAAGTTAAACCCAAATACTGCGGTGACTCAATTCGGCTTAGATTTTAGGTTTTCTGACTGATAGAGATAACTGTTTATAAATTTGAACTTTTAAGGATTTTTGAATGCGCATTTAAGAAGAAAAGATAAGTTGTGGAAGGTTGCGATGCATTTAGAATTGTGTTAAAGAGAAAATTCTGCAGCTACGACTACCACACCAGATTAAGTCGGACCAGTAGTCCCTTTCTTAAAAGTGCCGATAACTTTTATCGAGCATGGAGGCAAACTTTCAAATCAAAAACAACAAACTAGTAGTACCAGTCCTGGCTCACAAACCAGTGATGTGTAATATAGTAATTCAATAATTAGAAAAACAGGCTTCCAGTAGCGCCATCGGCCATAAATTATACCTCATCTTGTCGAGAAAATCAAAGGCTTTCCTCTGAAGGCAAAATCTTTTCGAAATATTGCAACATATCAAAAAACTCTAGGGAGAAGGTTTCATCAACCCCCCTCCACCCTTGTAAAACGGTAGCATCGGGGTATGAATTGGCGTGTACGTCCGAGGGTTGAAAATTAAAATGAAGCGGGCCTCAAAGCCCCCAAGTCTGAGGTTTCCGAGAGATAATTTGTCTCAGTTCAGTCTTTGTCGTCCTCATGGTGAGAAATTTCATACAGTAAGCAGCAGTAGGAAGAAGCGTAGCCGCGGAGTGGTCAGCGCTCTGGCCACTTGCTGAATTTTTTCTCGGTCGTCCCGACTTCAAATCCTCGGCCACGCTTGTAAGTACAAGCTGACTGGTTGCCTCCTACTAGTTGGGGAATTTAATCCTTACGTTGTGTTTGGGTTATTTTGTTTCTAACTATTTGTGGAGTGCATGTAAATTAGCTGGATAGGCAATCAAGGAATTTTTTCTTCAACTCAACTTATATTGTGATCTTTTTTAGAAACACCGGATAACAATATCAGTTGGACCATGTGGTTTTTCCTGTGTGCTAGGATTGTCGTTCGAGCCGTGGTACTTGTCATGAACATTTGTGGAATCCCATTATGTCTTGGCAGCTCCGCCATGGCAGACACGATTGCGAAAACCGAGGAAGCAATGAGGGGATCTTCAGCGTTTCAGGAGGCGGTACAAGTGTTCTTAGGGGTTTGGAGAGATGCTGGAGACTCTAACATGAAAAAGGCTCAAGCTATCTTCAACCTCCTTTGGGCGACTAACGCCGCTGGATTTCTGTGGATGATCATCAAGTGTTTATGCAGTAGCATGGGAAAGTGGGCCTGGATGAAAACAGCTGCCTTGGTGAGCGCCATGATCATCGCAAGTTTTGGATCAGGGGGAGTGGCGTTGATAGCGAAGATCGCTGTAGCAGTAACGGCTGCCACTGAATTGGCCGCGGATATAAATGAAGCGATACAACTTTTATAAATCCAGCAACCTCCACAGAAGCCAAAAGCAGTAGACTATTACGCAATCTGTAAACCCATTTTCTTATTACCTTTTGATAACGCTCCTTTTTCTCAGTAGGCCAGACTAGCACTAGACGCAAGTAATCTTCAATCCGGATTTACCGCAAGCAAATTGAAGTGAAAGCAAGCGGCTTAGAGGGCCGGGCTCCCTTCTAACAGAGGACACCTGATATTGGAACAACGGCATTATTAATAGCGCAGTAAAAATAATAGACTTTTATATCGTATTTTTCAGTGTTGTACTTAGTTATTAAATAAAATTAAAAATAGTCACCTTTTTTTCTTTACTAGTACTGTTCGGTACGGTAACTGTGCGTCCGGCCCCCAAAAACGTTCATAACTGCTTGCGCAGCGAGTTTCGATCCCAGACTACAACTCTTTTTCAAGTAAAGGAACCTAATGGAACTAAATAGTCATTCAAAAATATTTCTCGATTTCTTATTGGCTCAAAATCAAATTTGGAAGATGTTTGCGATATAGGGTAAAATGACCTCAACATCAGTGCGGAATATAACGACAGAGAAAAGGTTAAGCAACCAAGAAAACCCGGGGACTAAGTTGCGTTTAAAGCTCAGTTTAAAGCTTTAACCGTTTAGAGGTGGAGAAAATGGTAGAAAATTTCACGGGACGAAAAAATGGATTTGCACAAATTTGCTCCTTGCAAATATGTCGCAAATATATATATACTGACGAGTAAAATTATTATATGACGAACATGGTAAATGCCTCATTTGCCTTGTTATTTACACCCCATGTTTTTTGATATGTAAATGTGGCATTTACCATGTTTGCCATATATTAATTTTACTCCTCAGCAGTAGTCATAGAGGGATGAAATTAATCCTCGTTGGTGGATTCCCTTTGGATTCCCTCGCAAAAAAGTGGATTCCCTTCATTACATACGCAGGATTTCCTCGCAAAAAAGTGGATTAATTAAGTGCCTAGTCAGTGTCCTGCATACTAAGGGACTGTTTACATGGAGGTGGGGACCCCAGGTAGGCGAGGTAACCGGCTTAGGTGGGGTAACCCGCCTGTCCATATACTCACTCATTTTAATTTGATCACGTTTACATGTTAGGTGGGGTGACCCGCCACATGTTACCTCACCTATCTGGGGTCCGCCACCTCCATGTAAACAGGTCCTAATTCGGTGTAGGTTTACAAATGAGCGTCTCTCTTAGTCAATAGGAACAGTAGGCTTGCCCGGTCTCTTTTATACCTGATTGGCTCATATAGAATCTATTATGTCTTAAAAATAAAGGTGCGCTCTCAGTTGAGCATTTTATTCTTAAAGGGAACCTCCACTTCAACAAAAAGATAACTTTAAATCACAGGAAATAACTGTTACAGTCAAGTCAATCTAAAATATTTTTAAAGAAAGCGTTTGTATCCGAAAGAAATAACTTTTAGATTCGCCTATTTTTGTTTTCAAATTTTGCGGGCGTCGCCATCTTGAATAATTGTGAAGTGTTACGGTTGCCCTATTGTTGTTAAACAAAAGCTCTTTGTGTCAGAACAATAGAGCAACCATTACACGTCACAGTTATTCAAGATGGCGGCGCCCGCGAAATTTGAAAGTGAAAATAAGCGATTTTAAAATTCACTTTTCTTGATATAAACACTTTTTTTAAGAACAAATTTCGAACAAATTTGCTTATGAACTTAATTTTATTCGATTTAAACTTATTCTGTAGTAAGAGTGGAGGTTCCCTTTAAAAGTTCAGTTTGCTAAGGGAAAAATTCTTACTATCACCAATATTCTTTAAAACATTGCTTCAAACATGCAAGTCGAATCGAGCGTTACACCTCTGTTGACGATTGACGAAGTGGAAAAAGTCCAGCGACCAAGGATAGCCAGTTTTATTGGACATGTATTCCAACAGACTTCATATGCGGTTTTGGTTGACAAACTCATCCAACAAGAAAAGCTGAATCACTGCCATGGGCTGAAAACTCTTTATTCAAGACCCTGTTTCACCATTTCACGGTAAAACTGTGGTGCACGCTTCCACATTCATACGTCTCGACATAAATTTTAAGAAACTTTGTAAACAGCACTAATTTTGCCATCGGCAATAGGGACCTTGAGCAAAGGGGACATCAAAAAAGCAATAGGTTAACATAAGCAACACAACAATTCTCCACGTGGTAACGCTTTTTTTGGACATTTCTTTACCGTCACTGTTCTACTTCGACATGAAAATGTGTTATTTCATGTAGTTATGGAGGACGCAATGAAGCGACCAAGGAATTTTACTCTCTCTCTGAGCCTGAATATGGTTCTTAGGAATTAAATTCATGGAGATTTCGCCTACATTTGACAAAGTAAGTGAGTTGGAATAAAGTCGATTACGTTTGAATAAATATATAACGCGAATTCACTTTTTAAGCGACGTTTTCGCCGCCGTCGCTTTCCTCAGTTTTTAAAAGGTCTCTAATGTTTTGCCAGTAACCTCACGTTCACGGAAACGAGGCTTTTGCGTGACTTGGCCCTTACTGGGGCCAAAATAAAATAAGCTGAAACTGATTTATCAGTTCTGCCACTAATATGTTCATGTTATTCATTGTGCACCAATCTAACGGGTTAAAAGTAGGTAATAATGGTTGTACGTGTTGATAAAATTGCATATCAACTTCATAAGTAATTCTTGCTGTATTAATCTTTGGTAATTTCTTGAAGCCGCCTATCTGTTATTTTGTATTTATTGATATAACTTGTTCCAGGTGAATCTTTTGGCTTTTGTTTTGTTTTTTTTTTTCTATTGAAGCAGCAAATTTCCTGATCCACCTGCCCTAAATGATAAATAGCAGGATATTTCAATTGGCTGTATTTAGCGCCTGCATGATAAATTTCCGTATCATTGGGAATCAGGCATGTCACATTTCGTATTTTTATAGCGAACAGAATGTGAAACTCTCGCGAGTAACCACCGATCAAATTGGAAAAAGACAAAGTTTTGTGTCAGATCGAGAAGGTAATATTGCTATTTTTATTGGAGTAAAATTTCATTTTAAATTATAAAAATTTCATTTCAAATTATAAAAATGAAAAAGGATTAAGCCTTTCACGTTACATACAACATTGCATAGGCCTCAGTAACTTTTAAATCCTTGACAAGCAAATTATTTATCGTTTAGAATAGATTTTAAGTACATTTATTCAGAGAAGACTAGAAAATAACCAACGTACTTAAGTTTTTTTTCATGGAAAATCGTATCAGGTATTCAGTTATACTAATGCTCTCTGACTGACACGAGGGTTTGAAAGACTTTGAAGAGTGTGTTTGAATTTTGTTGATATTAACATCTATCTGACGCTTACTCTATTCTGAACGTGGACAACATAATCAAGTTACCTCGGGAAAACAGCGTGTATTTAAAAAGTAGAGGACAAAGGTGACAGCTTGGGCCGGCATAAATATCCTCGCACGATTTTAGTGGCAAACTGTCTTCCACGTTTTACTTCAAATTGATAAAGAGCAGTAAGACAATATCAATCGACACAGCTGGAAATAGCGCCTTAAAATCAAATTACTTTCAACGTTTAAAGGTGATACGCCCAAAGCGAACGAAGTCGCGAAATTTTACAGACGTTTTTTTTGTATGGTGGGGGACACGAACTTGCCTACCACATTAAAACGTCTGTAAAATTTCGTGACTCTGCGAAAAGCTATATGTTCGTTAGTTTGCAACAAATCACTTTCAAACCTGGCAACTCTACTGATTTTAAGATGTTCTTTCCAGCAGTGTTGCCGACGGATTTTCGGTAACTGGTCCCAGTCAAAAGTGGTTTAATCGTGAGGTCTATCGTGGAAGTGTCTTTTCTTCCATTGGATAAAATCATAAGCTGACAGGGGAAAGATATTGCTCAATATTGCTTATCATAAGCTGGCAGGGGAAAGATATTGCTAATTAGTATATACACACTCAGTGATCTTGGTGATTTAAGCAATCTGATTGGTTCGCTATCTATTCAACAATATTCACCTCCTAGTGAGTGGATGTGTGTGCTCGGTGTTTTTCCCATGTTTTTAGAGAATGATCTTTTAAAAGTCGACAAAATCCTAGGGCTGACTTTTTTAAGGCAAGAAAAGACTTGGAAGCATTTACTGTAGCTGAGTTTTGTGCTCGATGGATTGTTTACAACTCCCGTTTATTCGCGTAGAAGAGACCGTTTCGTGAACTCAGCGTTTCCTAACAAGAAAAATTTGGCCCAAAAATCGAAGTATATTTATGATAAACAAATTTGAAAGGAAATGTTTACAGAAATTCTACGTTTCAAGGAAACAGGAAAAAGAATGCTATAGGAAGACGACGTCTTACCTCGAGCAACCGACCCGCTTTTTTCGTCTCAGCAGTTCATGCGAAGAACGACACAACAAACCTTTTTGACTATAAGCTTGGCGAGTCAGAAGAAAACAACAAAGCTCTACTTTTCTTCTCAGGTAAGGAAACAATTCAAACTCTTAATGGGTCCATTTAAGCCATAACGCTGTTGTTTGCGAAGTGATAAACTTGTGAATTGCCATGTTTGAAAATTCTGCAAAGATCTATTTTAAACTTTCGCGTGATTTGATCCGCCAATCAAATCGTACTTTTGAATGGTCTCTTCTCTGATTTTGTTGAGATCACTTCGCTTGTATATACTAAAACAATTATTCTTTTCAATCTCGGTAAATAGTGGCTCTGGGAATATTTACCTCAATTTCAAAGAATAATTGTTAAATATTGCTTTATTTATAAAGTCACACTTCAAGATTCCATTCCGTCACACTGAACTTCAAAAAGCCACAAAAAAAGAAACAAAAGGGGTACTATCTACATGTTACAGTACCGTCTTGATCATTTCAAAATTCCTTTTGTCTGTTTAATGTTATAAAAAAATGATCCAGCTTCTATAAACTACTGCAAAGATAAGAAAGCTTTGTCTGGCTGAAGTAAGTAGTAAACTTCAAAACAGAAACAAAAACAATGAAGTGTTTACTCGATGATCACGCCTTAGGATTTCAAGGAGCAGAATTGTCAGGTCCAGTATTATAAACAGCTTCACCTGCAATGCAGCGTAATTTTTTCACTATAACAGCCAACTTCGCTTCATTGAATCATTCAAGCTAAGAACAGCATCCGTAACGCTTGATTGCAGATCTGTAACTTGCAGAAGGTCTTGTTTTCTTGTCTGATGAGCTTTTTTTTCACGGTTTTAGAAGGGAACTAAAAGCAAATTTTTATATCTGAGATGCGAAAAAAAAAAAACGAAGCAAAACATAGCTTTTAAGTTTTCAGTACGATACCGAAGTTTTCGGTTCAAACAGTTTTCTTTGTTCATGGCTCGACTGATATTCACACAGGGCGCCGGGATGCATGACTGTGGGCACAAGACGAGTGTTTCACCGCACAAGATAAAATACAGTTGTCTCCCATGGCTTACCACCGCGAGGAACGTTTCCCTCGCGGCGGCAAGTGTTACACGCAGCTTTATTCGCAGGTGATCCCCGTGGAAAGTAGGGGGAACTACGTAGTTTTGCAAAATGAGAATTTAAATTGAGAATTTTACAACAGTGAAAATCGTTTATTGTTCTTCTTCTTATTATTAATGCTCCCAACCCATGAGAAATAAGAACACAACAACAATATGTGGGGTAAGGGGTTGGGAATGAAGTACTCCAATAGCAGGCCGGTGGAACTAAATGCCATCAATAGATAAATCACTAATCTGGCTTGGTAAGGGGGGTCAAAGCCCCCTCCTCTCCGGGGATGCAGGTCACAAACCCCTGGGAGAGGTTCCTAATCCTCTTCGGGGCTGCAGTCACAATACCCCGAAAGAGGTCCTTACTCCCTTTCAGGGCTGCAGGTCACAATACCCTGAAAAGGTCCCTACTCCCCCTCAGGGCTGCAGGTCACAATACCCTGAAAAGGTCCCTACTCCCCCTCAGGGCTGCAGGTCACAATACCCTGAAAGAGGTTCCTAGTCCTATGGCTAAGGGAGTTTAGACTCATGGTTACCATGGTAACCCATCAATTCTGTGAGTCTATGGGGCCAAGAGTGCCTGTAAGGGAGCACTTCATCCCAACCCAAAGTTTATTTCTGTATTTTAATTAGACAGATCAAAATTGTAGACTAACTCATTACTACAATTATGTAGTCCTTGGGATTAGACAAGGCTAAACAGTTCATTCAGTGTCTTTGATGCATGTAAACTGCATAAAATTAATACCAACAGCACTGGTTGCTAACAGTAACAAAAAATAGCTCATAACTGTAACGTGTTGTAGAAAGAGATATCAATACATATTGCTGTGAATCTGAAAATTAGAAACATGAACAGTGGCTGTACATAGGAAAGCTAGTCAATGATCCCTAACATGGGGGCCAAAGGCCCAGCTTAACAGCTTAAGTAAGATATATTACAACTATTCGCAAATTCATAAGCATTGTGTAATACTAGTGTTAATTTGGGTGTGACATGCTTAAACCATAGGGTGGGAGGGAGGGAAAAACACATTGTAGAACAAGACAAATACAGTTGCTAGCTCGCAGCGAATGAATGAATGAACACACAACTCGTGCTCGATGTCTGAGGATTGATTGACAGTGAAATACCAGCCGATTCTGATTGGCTCAGCGAACAGTTTGCGTTACAAATGCATGTGATCACGCTAAACTTTGGACTGTGAAACCCTACCCCATACCTTAAAGCATGTCACACAACCGGCACGTAATCTCTCATGGTTGTCCCATTAACTTAAATTTATGAGGACATAAATTGGTCTTTAATGCTCCCAACCCATGAGAAATAAGAACACAACAACAATATGTGGGGTAAGGGGTTGGGAATGAAGTACTCAATAGCAGGCCGGTGGAACTAAATGCCATCAATAGATAAATCACTAATCTGGCTTGGTAAGGGGGTCAAAGCCCCTCCTCTCCGGGGATGCAGGTCACAAACCCCTGGGAGAGGTTCCTAATCCTCTTCGGGGCTGCAGTCACAATACCCCGAAAGAGGTCCTTACTCCCTTTCAGGGCTGCAGGTCACAATACCCTGAAAAGGTCCCTACCCCCCTCAGGGCTGCAGGTCACAATACCCTGAAAAGGTCCCTACTCCCCTCAGGGCTGCAGGTCACAATACCCTGAAAGAGGTTCCTAGTCCTATGGCTAAGGGAGTTTAGACTCATGGTTACCATGGTAACCCATCAATTCTGTGAGTCTATGGGGCCAAGAGTGCCTGTAAGGGAGCACTTCATCCCCACAAATACACAAAGTGTATTCCCCATAGACGAAACAACCCTGACCCCTAGAATAAGTAATGGATTAACTAATTTAAGGTATCACCTAACAGCTGACAGGAAACCCCAGAAAGAAGGGAAGGTGGGCACTGAACATATCTTTCATAGCAGTCAGAGGACCACCGCCCCAGTGTTTTTATTAGCCAAGGGGGTAGGCCCACAGAAGCCGAGGTTGTGGCAGCCCCAATTCGGTAGCTATGTCCCGCATACTGAGAGGGCTGAAAACCTGACATAGAGAGAAGCTGCCTAGTTTCGGAGGTAAGTCCCGCTTTTGTGAGGGGAGCACCCGACAAGTACTGAAAAAGTGGGCCTAGTGTGGACCCCCGGTAGGACAAATAATTTGTCATAGCCAAAACAGGGCAGACCCTCTGGTCAGTCTTTCCAATAACAATAGTCTGACCCGAACGAAATGGGTCAGTTTTGGATATTTTTATCCTAACTGACATATGGTCAGGGTTCTGAATACTGGGGAAAAAGGTCACATCCCCTGGAGACAAGTGGCGTGTAGATGAATAGGGTGAGTTGCAGGTCATTTCTCCCAGGCGGAGGAAACCAAAAAAGGCTAAGGTCATGGCTGCCCATACCATAATGGAGTCATAACTAGGGGGAGGTTGGGATTGCAAGAAGTTGGAAGAACAATTTGAGGTGGTTTATTGTAATAGGGAGTCGAATGCGGGTAGAATCGCCCTGGGAACGCTTGATGCCGCGGCAAATCAACTGCAGGCGCAAGAATTTCTTAAGGTCCAGGTCATAGCCTGAGCGGATATGCAGGTGTCTAACTGCAGCCAGGTAACCCTTGATGGATGAGTGTTTAATTGTTTTGGCTAAATATGCAACATACTGAATTAGAGTCTCTTCATTGGTGGGCAAATAAGTTGACCTGTGTGGGCTGTGGAGGGTGCAAAAGTCCAAAAATCTACGTTCACCAGAGGTATATGTTTGTTTAGTAGAGGCAGCAACAGAGAGACGTAAGTACTTCTGGATGTCGGCATTCAGATCACCAACATTGTCGGGGGTACAGGACATGGGGCTGGGTCTGCATGAGGGGCCAGGCTGCGAAAACGCTCCATCTGAAATCGAGAGAGGGAATCCGCGATGTCATTTTTCTTGCCTTCAATATGTTCCGCCCTTGGATAGAAGTTATGTCTTAAAGTCAAGAGGGTAAAATGGCGAACCAGATCCATAACCCTAGGAATGTGGGATCGTTTGGAGTTTACTATATTGACAACCGATTGGTTGTCGCAATAGAAAACGATACGCTTATTGGCAAACTCATCCCCCCATAGGTGGCATGCTACCACCAAAGCAAATAACTCTTGCCAGGCAATGCTTATACCAGGAGCATTGAGCAGGTGGTGAGTCTCCCACCTACCCTGAAACCATTTCTGACCTAATATCCCACCGTACCCAAGTGTGCCTGAGGCATCGGTATGGAGTTCTAAGGAGTCGGAGTCTAGCCATGAAGTAGGGAGGAAAAACCCGGCCCCATTCCAGGTGTGGATAAACTGTTGCCACATAGTGAGATCCTTGAAGAAACCCTGGCTTAATTTAATGTGGTGGTGAGGTTTAGCGACTTTACGAGTGAGCTCAATCATGCGCTGAAGAAAGGGCCTCCCAGGGGAATAACTTTGCATGCAAAGTTTAAAGTCCCAATGAGTGACTGTAACTCCTTTAGGGTGCATGTCCTTTTGTTTGAAAGAGGGCAAGGGGGGCCTGTATCCGTTCCACCTTATCTGCTGGGAGTCTCGCCTCCATCCGGACGGTGTCCAGGATAATTCCCATGAACTCAAGGGTAGTAGAGGGCCCTCTGTTTTGTTGGCTGCAATGGGGATACCCAGATTCCTAAAGGTCAAGAGCATGCTATTCAAGCTCTGCTGGCATAGCAAATTTAGAGGGGAGAGGATAATGCTGGTTCGATGATTAAAAATCATCGAGGATATGACAAACAAACGAAACCTGGCATTGATTGAGGAGGATCCACTCTATTGCATCGGACAGTAAATTGAACAGGAAAGGGCACTCCTCAAGCCAAAGGGAAGAACTTTGTCATAGTAGTAGCTACCCTCCCAATACATGCCGAAGAGCTCATAATCTGAAGGCCTAAGAGGGATGAGGCGAAACGCTGACTCGATATCGGTCTTCGCAAGAAAGCACCCTTGCCCGAGGCTCAAAATCCCGTGGATTGCATTGTCGATTGTTATATACTGAAGGCTGAAATCCTCCTTGGGGATTGAAGAGTTGATACTTGTCGCTCCAGATTTTGGGAAAGATAAGTGAAAGATGGTCCTAAACTTCGTAGAATGTTTTTTGGGGACCAATCCGATGGGTGACACCTGGAAATTGGGCAGTGGTGGGGTGGGGAAAGGACCTGCAACTCGCCCCAGGGCCACTTCCTGGAAAGGTTTTCTGAAACAATATTTGGTTGGGAAAGGGCAGTGGGCAGATTCCTAGAAAATCTAGCAACACGTCTCCCAGTAAAACCCACATCGGCCCCATACCTAAGATTGTTACACAATTTCGAGACAAATTCCCGATCAGGATGATGAGTCAATGTTTCCTCAAGTCGTTGTACATTAATAGGGGTCGGGAGGGGCAAGTAGTGTTCTCACTTTCGATGAGAGGAACTTGACTTTGAGCTTCCACCATGGTCACTTTCTCTATGCCTCCCCTTCCCGCTCTGGTTGCCGCACAGGGTGGGCCGGGCAGTCAACCCTTGGGTGTAATCCACTACATCTGTTACACACATGTCTGAAATAGCAGGGGTCTCTATTACATGTGCCACTCCTATTGTAAAAGTTGCATGTGCCTCTGTTCGCATCCCCTGTTGTAGACACATTTCGCTGGGGTCCATTTGAAAAAAGCGGATACTCTTCTTTGAGTATCGCTGGTGACACGGTGAAAATGGTTAACCAAAGCTGAGTGTCAACCACTGACCAATTAATAGACTTATTGACGCTAGCTTTCTGGCGAAACTTAAAGTCATAAATGGCCCATCCTAACCCTTTGTGCACACGGGCTGCGTATCTAATTAAACTAACATATTGCAAGAGTTCCTGCGATCGTGTTGGGAACTTGTCGATTAGTACACTCATATAGGACGTAAAAGCAGTGGTCCACTGTTCAATATCGGTAATAGAGGTGGAGGCCGACTGCTTCGATTTCTTCGACACCTTAACGACGGAGTTCTCTAAGGAGAGGACAAGATTATCCTCCTCGTCGTGCAGCGACAGGTTCTTAGGAAGTAGTTTGGAAAGATCAAAAACTCACCACATTGGATGTCTTTGATATACTGCCCTGGGATGTCTTGGAATGGCGATGCGAAATTTACCGCCGCAGTGTTCGTGGGAGCTGTCGTGTCGGGCGCTGTTTCACGCACCAGCGAAGGGGCCTTTGGGCAAGGAGGCTCGACGAAGCACTCACAGCGGCCCCAGCCGCTTCGGTCGCTATCTCCCTGGCGGATTGTTTCACAGTGTCCGCAATTAATCGTTGAATCGTCTGCATCTGGCCGTCTGTAAACTCAGGGCGCTCTTGCCTGTGTGCCGCCGTTTCGTCGTTGTTTGGATTTGCTGGTTCGTGTTCATTAATTTCTTGAACCTGAATTGGTGGTGGATTGTTCAGGTCCCGGAGCCGGCGTTCGAGAGTCTTTTTGACTCCTGTCGACGGAATCCATGTTGAACACAAAGAGAGCGAAGGTCGGCGATGGATAGGGCTCCAAGCACGGTCGGGTCGATATTCGGTTGTGCGCCTGGGCGGGAAGTCGACCGGCGTGCTCGTGGCGGCATGATTTGCAACTTGAAAACACCTCACAGGATCGCCTCACAGGATAGGGAAACCGTCTCAGAAGCGAGCGAAAAAGCAAATTGAACGGCTGCAAAAACACATTGTAGAACAAGACAAATACAGTTGCTAGCTCGCAGCGAATGAATGAATGAACACACAACTCGTGCTCGATGTCTGAGGATTGATTGACAGTGAAATACCAGCCGATTCTGATTGGCTCAGCGAACAGTTTGCGTTACAAATGCATGTGATCACGCTAAACTTTGGACTGTGAAACCCTACCCCATACCTTAAAGCATGTCACACAACCGGCACGTAATCTCTCATGGTTGTCCCATTAACTTAAATTTATGAGGACATAAATTGGTCTTTATTTCTTTATTATTTCATTTTATTTTATTTTATTTTTATTCAAAGAAGACTGACAAAGTTTTTTTCCCTTGAAGACAAACTTCATTACAAAAAACAGCTTGGGAAGAGATGATTTATTACTGAGAGAACAGGGAATACTTTTACTAAATGAATAAATGATAATTTCCCAAAGGATCAATTTTAATATTCTGTCTTGTCAAAGTAATTATGTAAAAATCTGCTTGCTTTTCCTCCATCATTTGTCTCTGTAAAGACAGAATTCCTCTTCCAGCACTCTCTTTTTAATTACTGACATTAGTGAGAATCAAGTTTACTAAACAGCAGCGTCGGAATCAAATTCACAATTTCCCATAGTAGGAAATAAGATATATAAATAAAACTCCCCAAATTATTTGATATGAAACCGGCATGAAACTTATTTCTCAGTAAATGCAATAAACAGTCAAACGACAAATAAAGGAAATACCTGCTCAGACGTAGTAAGAATTGACTTTTGCCTTAAAAATGGTTCTTTGAAATCTCTCTATCGACATCGACACTATACTGTCTATTCTTTGGATGAACTTCTGTAATAAATGCATTTGTGATAAATAAACTACTAAAATAGTTTTTAGCCAGTTCAGTCTGCATACACTCGTTTCCTGTCAGATCCCTGTGGCTAGGGACAGTCTCGTGATGTGTGTTTTAGAGGTCTATTTATTTAATGACAGCACTTGTAAGGTAGAAAATCAGTCAATAAAAGATAGCTTATATTCCCGTCGCCAACTAAATACATATAATTGTCAGTTAGGCGTTTAGTCAGCTGGTATCAGTTACTGCATTCAGATTGAATTACTTTTAAATCATTATTTTAATGCACCTAAAAGGCGCCAAAAGTCTACTGTAAATAGTTTCGAAAAATATTATCACTGAGTGTACTAAGGCCCGGTTCAGACGCCGTACTTTTCATGAGCCGAACCTAATACATTGAATTAAGTACATGAAAAGTTCGGCGTCTGAATCAATTAGCAACGCCTGTTTCAATTTGGAACGGCTCAGCCGTTCTTTTCGCCTAGCCCGGCCGGGAATTTCGCCTTTGGATCGACTTAGGAACGCCTTTTCATGTACCGAACCAAATGCAGAAATTCTTACAACGTATTTTGTAAGCAGTTTGACCGAAATGCGCATTTTTGGCCTTCTGAATTTAGTTCGGCTGGAATTAAGATCGGCGTCTGAATCACTTTGCCGGTCTAAATAATTTGGGTCGGCCTTAATTCGAATTAGGTTCGGCTCATGAAAAGTTCGGCGTCTGAACCGGGCCTAAATATCTTTTTTGTCACTTCTGTAGATAGTTGTGTTGTAGCCTGAATGTCTTCGACACAATTCTACAACAGTGCTTTTCCTCCCAATAAGGGATCGATATACCGCTAGCTAACTGAATCCTTGAGCGCGGGGTAGTTTTGCATTTAGACTGAGTGGCCTTGCTTAACCAAAGCTTTCTACCATCACTCATGACTAAATAGGAAGTTAATAATCGTTAAAAGTAATGCATTACATTAAATACAAGCTTGGAAGGATAAAGGTGATTTCCGCTTTTAATTCTCTTCTGATTAACATTTACCACAACCTGTTTAAATTTCATTTTTTTACAATGACAGTTTGAATGGTTTCTATTCACTAGAATCTTTCGTAGAAAGAAAAGAAATAACTTCTAAAAGTTAATGAGGTTTCTTATTTCCTGAATCCGCAGAATTGTGCAAATATTATAATGAAAGAAGAGTGTCAGTTTAGTTTAGTGAGTTCTCGACATTAAGAGAAAATTCAGATCTGAAATTCAAAAGGTTTTGGATTTATTATATTAATATTTAAAGCATCTCCTTTTTTAAAGAAAGCTGTGAATCTAATAACTAGCACGCAATGAATTTTCCATCTTGAAACATCTTGTATTTTGACGAGCTTTTAGAGCGATCGTTTCTATTTTAGTTCTGGAAGAAGATCATTTAAAATATTATACATTTGACAGAGGCTATACGAGAAGGACCCTCGAAAACTATTTATTTCTGGGTTCAAGCTGCAAGAATTTCATTTCAAAAGTTGTAGACTTGACAGATGCTATTACACGGGAAAGAGCTTTGAAATCTACAGTAGTACAAGTCTATCACTTGTTTTATTGTTTTTCAACCAGAAGAAAGATGTAATCGCAAAGTTCTTTTAGCTGCCAAGACGCTGAAATTTACGAGTCAGAGTAAGTTATTTTACATATTTTACTAAAACATTTTACTGTTATACCATTTCAAAAACTAATTCTAACTTACCAACACATAGATTAATTGGTAAAACTTATTAACTTTTTTCCATGCCGGAGAAAAACTGATTCAGCGAACGAGTGCTCAATACCGTCTTCAAGGATTTTATAAGTTGATAATAATGAATCATCTAAAGCCACTGATCTAAATTTCTTGAAATTTTATATTTTTTCAAGGTAAACGTAACCTTAACCATAATAGCATTATTAGATTTTGAATAGAGTACATGAAAATTGGACCAAAAAGTATAGTTCTGAATGGATTCTGCAAAATTTAGTCTCAACCAGGAGGATCGGCTCCTGTCTCAGCTCCTTAAAGTTCGTGTGAAACAGAAAAGACCAAAAGGGATCCCATTAAAAAAATGATCTTTAAGTTTCACCTACCTAGCAAATACAGTGCCGGATCCAAACCTTGAGTTAAGGGGGAGGGGGGGGTCATCCAGACACTTGGATAAGAGGGGAACCCGGTCCTTCGGGCCTCATTTTGTTCCAAAAATAAGGGGGGGGTGCGGACCCCCTGGGCCTCCCCTGGATCCGCCACTGAAGTGCTATTTCTATGGCTTATTCCGTGGACTAAGATCAGAGACTCCTAATATTCAGGACATTTTTGGTCTTTTTATGACGAGTCAAGGAAAGGGAACTAGGGAAGGACTATTGAAACCCACAAAGAACCTTGGGTTTCACAATTCAAAAAATCTGGCACAAAAGTTAAGCAGAGTATTGTTGTAGTAGCCTCCCACGCAGACGTTCTCAGGGGTTCGTCACGCGTTCCTGCCCCATGAACCCCTAAGAACGTCTGCGTGGGAGGCTATTGTTATAGCGGAGCTCTCGCACGCGAAGCGCGCGCAGTGGAGCACCTTGAGTAAGAAAATTGGTTATTGCATCCGAGAAATTTTGGTTAATCGTCCGTTGGTACTTACGACCACCCCTTCATGTAAGCCGGGGTGAAATTTGCATTTTGAGCACTCCCGCGTTTCGGCTGTAAATCGTATGGCCACCCGGACTTTAGAGAGAAAAAATACAACAACAATAAAGCCGATCCCTTCTTTCGACTAAATTTTAATTTCTACATTAACGCGGAGAACAGAGAAAGAGCTAGAGCGAGGAATGAAAAGACCAATTTCGTTGGAAGAAAAACGTGAAAATTTTATAGCGGCGGTGAGAAAATGAGAAATGCGACCGGTCACCAAGGTGAAAATGAGCGGAAGCGAAAAAAAAGAGTTAGCAGGAACACATACGACATCGGTCCCTGGTAAAACGTGTAACTCGGAGGTTTCTGGAAGTTTCACGTTATAATCGTGCAAAACAACGGCAATGAAATGTGCAAAAAAAGTGTGCTGCACGTGCAAAGTTGTTTTTGTGATAATTAGACCTACGTTTTCGTTGCCGTCGCCGCTCAGCAATACACAATTTTATGTTTTGTTTGACAAAACTATAAACATTAACGAGAGCTTCGCTTTAAATCTATATATTATAGTAGAGCTAAGAGTTCCTACTTTTATGTTTAAAATTAAACCTCGTGTATGAGTTCAGTGTGAAAGTCAGTCATGGCGTTTAGAAGTGGAGGATATTGCAGGTAATAAGGCTACAAGGGAATTTATATGTAGGAAAAACGGTTTCCCCACGGAAATGAAACTGCAATGATAATATTGCTATGACATGAAGAACAGAGTAAAATTTGAGGTGCAAAATGTTAGGGCTACAGATCTTGGTAACTGAGACTAGGCTAAAATCTAATTTTTTTTTCCAAAAATGATGGATAATTGACTGTTGGTGCACGCATTTCCTGTCCGCTGTGAAAACCTATTTGGAAGGGGAGAAAAAGTTTAAATAGACTAGGTAGGTTCAATTAAACAACAATTTCCTCAAATTAGACCACATTTCAGATGACGTGCGCATGCTTCACGCGATCTGATTTTGGTAAAAAATTTTCAAGTGTATTGTCTAGTTGCCGTTGACCACCAACAAGATTATTTCGGATAAGTGGTTTTAAATGGAGAAACGTGGGCGTTAGGTTTCAGAAAAGGAAGTCTCATTGAAAGGATTGATGTCCATATTGCCTGCTGGGGTAGTTAATCAGGATTCGCTTTCAGTCTGGCTCGGTCGCCGAACCGGCCATATTATACAGGTGGTTAATAAAGCAAATCGTATTCGGCCTTAAAGGCTTTTGTTACTCTGAAACATATAAGACCTTCATTTAACCGAGATATAAGTAATCCGGAGAGATGCGAGATGTTTGTCTTTTGAATGAAACCTGTAGTGTTTTTTTTTCCCTTTAAATAGGACAATTGCACGATGACGATATTTGACTACAACTACCAGAATTCATTTCGGTTTTGCTTTGTTATTTAAATTTGTCAATGCCGCTGAGGATTAAAGAATAATAGCTTTAATTTGCACAAGAAAACAACAAACTCAAGGATTCTGGTAGTTTTAGGAAAATTACGTCATCGTGCAATTGTCCTATTATCGACCTCGACTTCGTCTCGGTCCATAAAAACGGAAACTAAACTAAACTAGGCCAAAATCCAGCCACCTTGACTAATATATATGACTATATATATGCTATATAGACGGTATAACAGTCTCCGAGAACAGTACACAAAAATTTTCTCCTAGTCATACGAAAGCCGAATTCAATAATTGTTTTATTATTTCTTCAAAATATTTCTAAGTTCTTCTGAATTAGCTCACCTTCTCTCAGTGATTCCTCAAAACTCTGGCCTATTTCTCAGAACGGTCTCAAGATATAAACAGATGTTTTTTTCTTACAGATTATACCCCTCAGAGGTAGATAACATTCATTGACCAATATGTTTTTTACATTTCTTCCCTTCATTTTTAGCTAGAAATTCAGCTACATGTAGTTTGTCTACTTCGGATGCGGTGAACACCATTTTTTAGTGAACTGTTGTCCAATATTTTGAATGAATAACTACAATAAATTGTCAAATAAATTATTTCGCTCATACGTTATTTAGTGGTGTCGATAGTTTAAGGGGTCGCTAAAGGGTTTCTCTGTTACCAAGGTAACGTTAGCAATACAACGGTCTGTACATAAACGGGTAAAGATCATTATGGTCTAAAACGGGGTATAGTTTTCACGGGAACCACAGGAGGGTATCAACATATTTTTGTCTGAAAAGATGAGGCCTGCGTGGAAGGCGTTCGAAAATTCCTTTCCTGCCAACGCCTACCACGCAAGCTAGAAAAGATGTAGAGTGTCAAATACTATTAAATGGAGGTCGACAAAACTTCCCTCACTTGGACAAGGCGATGAGTTCGCAGGACGAGTATAACTTTCAGATGCCAGATCTGAAAACGTGTATATATTTAAGAGGCCATGCAAGGCTTGAAAACGGTTTTGAAAAATGAAATGTTTTTGTCTTAAATAGATGAAGATTTGGAGCGAGCGGACGGCGGCACATCCTTACCAACAATTCCTAAGAGTCCCCCCGAGACGGATATTGTAGAAACGTTGATATGTATTACCCCACTGTTTGCAATATCAGCTCACCTTGTAATCAGTATATTTTGTTAAAAAGTAATCACGCGCACACTCCGTTTATGTTATCCGAGTTTGTATTTCACCTTCTGCAATTTGTAGCCCGCGCGGTACACCTTATTCAGTTATGAACCTCGGAGACGCCGCACGTTACTTTGAATTGCCGACCCTCTGCAGAATTAATTAATAGAACGTCTGTGATTTGTATACGGTCATATAGAACGGTTGTTGCAGCTCTTTATTCCTTCGCGATCTTTGTCTGTCAAAATTGAAAAAGAAATCATTATTTCGATGTTTCGATGTTTTGAAAAAGGTAAGTCATCAGTAATTCCAGATTCGTCCCTATCAGGCTCAGTTCTATGTATTTGCGGCTAGAGTTTCCTTGCAGAAAGGCTAACAATAAACCAGAAGGCCATTTTTTGAGGTTTGGTTTTTATGTGTGACCCTAAGGTAAACAGACAATTTTCCGCGCTTTCACGAACAACAAGACAGCGTAAAACAGAGTAATATTAAAGCTGTTGGACATTTTTTGAATATTATACTTTCTGGGGATCTGTGGTTAAGTACAGTTATTGCAGTTTTAAGTTTTTACCGCTTTGTTATTGAGCAGTAAAGTGTACTTAAAAACTCGTACAAAAATGTACACACAAAAAAAACAACAAATGAAAAAATGGCTAATCCTGACGTTTGTTAAAAGTGTTTTTGTCTTAAGAGAAGCAAACTAAGGGTGGAGATCATCAGAAAAAATCGGTGATCATGGTAAACGATCGAGTTAACGACATAACGTCAATCAAAACAAGAAAGGTTTGGGGTAAAGCGATAGAGTGATCGGCAGTTGTTTGTTATGATAATTATTTAGGAAGTCTAAGCAAACTCCACCGGTCCTGTCAAAACTTAACTCTTATATGACCGGCATTTCTAGTGACCTTTCTATGAAGAAAAGTTCGCTCTGCATTAACAGTGGTTTTTTTCCTTTAGTTCGACTGATCCCATTAATGGCATAATTTTTGTTCATAACAGGCTTTCGCGGCTAAACAGTTTGAGCAACTTGACGGATCTGACGCTGAAGTACCAGGTGATTTTACTGTCGCTTTTATTGCCTTCTTTTGCCCAGCAGAAAATACAGACATTCTACTGTTAAAAGGTTTTTCCTATGTTTTTCCTTCTTAATATCTTTGTACCAAATGCTATATATTTTTGCACGTCTAAGATGTTGTTGGAATTCTGGAGCAATTTGTAAAATGTTGGTTAGCCGGATATACCTTTTAAATTCATTTATAGCTCTCCATTCCTACATAAAAGACAATTACTAACCTCTGCTGTAATTTTATATATCACACCGTGTGTAGGAGTGTTTGTCAGAGACCTTTAGATTCTACGACGAGGACGACTACAAGTACGAGATTTGACTTGAAGTTTTTTCGCGTATTCTCAAAATATACACTTCCCGGAAAGCTTCATTTTACCATATTTCACTAGAAAAGTTAGCACTGTTATATTTAGTGAAGGAGGTTAAGCGCTTTCCCAATCGCAAAACTTCTAATTAACAGTTATTCCTCGAGCCCGAATGGGATCTGAGTCAATAGCCCATGAGGCCGAAGGCCGAATGGGCTATTAACTCAGAGGCCATGAGGGTGAGAGGAATAATTGTTTCAGTAAAATCCAACTAGTTGGTCAAAAATAAACTGACAGAACAACTTTAGCCAGCAAAACGCGATTCAGCCGCCATTGCTTTGGTTTTCAAAGCCGGCACTTTTCATTACTGGTGGGCTATAACATATAGCTTAGTAGTAACTCAACCAATCAGAACGCAGCATTGATAATAGACCACTAGTTGGGTCTTACTAACATTTGATATTTTGTTTTCGCCACCACGACATTCGCGCTAATACTCGTAGTAGAATGACGACGGCTACCACATAGTCCCGCCAAAATGAAGCTGGTTCTCGCGCGAGCGCAACGTAGTATTGAGAAAATCTCGTACTCGTAGTCGTCCTCGTCTTAGAATCTAAAGGTCTCTACTGTGTGTTATTAGTGTTATTAGACCGCGAGCTTCTTATTCGGGGGTCTATGATAATGCATGCAGCCAGCCACTTTTAAGTCTTTAATTTGCAAGCAAAACTACCGCCACTTTGACCCACTTAGCTAGACTCATCGTGAATCGGCCTCTAATAGTCAAGGTTTAATTCGAACAAAAATTCTGTTTAAAAGGTCCTCATAAGTTGGTAAGAGTCTGTAATAATACTCGTTTGAGGCGGATATAAACAGTAAGAATAGATCTTAATGTCCAGTGACTAATTGTAATGATTAAATGCGCTTCATTTATATGTCAGATGTAAAGAAAACATCTCTGTACATTTTATGAGCTAGTATGGGTTAAGTCAACCATCCTTCTGTTAGAATTTTTATTTCTTTTTTCGTGATAACTGATTAAAACTTGTTTTTACAATCGTCAATCAATAGTTCTAAAACAAGCTGTTTCACAGGATCTCACAAGACAAAATGAAAGGGAACTACATGTGACATGATAGCTAGCACGCATGATATGTATCGGTCTATTTCTCACTTTGAAGTATACCGAAGCAAAATATAAATCTGCAAAACAAACAAAGTATATTAGAAGATCCCCAGCTGTGAAGGAGTCTGTGGCTTAGAGTCAAGATTTCTGGAACGCACTGTATCGGCTGCTTTGTCAAATTCATCAAAATGTCCGTAATTACATGGCTAACGTTTTCGATTCTAGCTAATCGTAATCACTCTGATGGAAAGTAAACAATGAACACATGCAAGGGACGTTAAGCAATATTTATATATAAGATGCGCGTCTTGTGAAAAATTTAGGGGCTCGTTTCATGAAAAAAAAAACATTGTAGGTGTCTAATGGCACCTGTTTCTCTCGAAGTTTCAACTAATTCCAGGGAAATTATTTCTTATAGATTTATCATGTCAATAACGACATTGTAGGTAAACTAATAATTATGACAGCGTCTAAGCTTATTGCACAGGCAGGTTCGAATGTCCGGGAAATGACAAAGAACTCCTTTCGGATTCGTCCTGCCCAATTGCAGCTATTGTAGCTCATCAGTTAACTTCTGGTGCCCAAAGGCTAGGAAATCTGTTACCACTGAGCTATTTTTTCGGGGATAAGTATCTCATAAATTAACAAAAGAATCTGTATGTGTTTTTACAAGCCTTAAAGAAATGTGAGAGGTAGGAGAAACAGCCGTACTACCAGCAAGAACTGTATTTCTTACAGTGCTACGCCCCCTCTCTCCAAGATTTCCTTTCATTCAGCTAATCTCTATGGTTCAGTTAAAACATCATTTCTGTTCATCTGTCATTGTATTGATCCTGGTCCGTTTACTAGCACCCTAGTAAATGTTTGGCCAAAGAATCGTATTCAGGTTGGTTCCCTCGTGGCAACATGGCCAACAAGCACTGATGATTGGGCACTAAGAGTAAAGGCGGTCGCCTTTAGACCATTTTAGCAAAGACGTTTTTAACGATGCACGCCAATCGGAAGTTAACTTCTTGCATTCTTCAGCAGTGGTTTTGCCCAAACGTTCAGTCCAGTCGTCTCTAAAAGAGTAAAGACACTCAACAATCCAAATTTGGTAGCATCGAGACATATTAAAACAGAAAAGGCCTCGCTTCCGGTTGGCGTCCGTCGCTCAAAAGCGCCTCGGCTTAAGTTCCCTATCATACTTGGTCTCCAAGGATGGTAGTCGAGTGCAATTCTAAATGGACACTAACGTAACCACACCATTGTTTAGGGCACATGCCTGACAGAATTCGATTACTCGAGTACCAATCACGAGGCAAAGATATGGACGCGGTACTTAATCGCACATTGGGTGTCCAGTGTCTTAACACAAAACTCTTTAGTGCCAGTGCCAGGAACTAGTCCCAAGAACATAGGTTACGAACTGAAGCACTGTGCACTGCACAAGGCACTCTGAATTTGGATACGAGATGAATCTGCAGTATTTCTCGACTGATCGGTCACAGTAGCCAGGGAACAAGCAGTTCTTAAAAAAAAAATGCTGAATAACCAACTCAATTGTGATATTTGTTTTGTTTTCGCAAATAGAGATAAATTACCAGCTATTTTGAAAAGCGGTTTGCATTTGAGTTTCTTAACAGCCCTTAATTATAATAATGGATTCATTCTTGCCCAACGGCGGCAAACCTTTAAAGTCCTGGATAAATTAGCAATACTTGAAAGAATAAAGTTTAGTAATCAGATGGTTAGTCAGTCATATTATTTTTAAAAAAAATTTCGTAAAATCTTTCTCACCTTTAAGACGAAAGACAGCAAAATTAAGACATAACAAATCTTGGACAATAAATGTAATTTAAGAGAATTACTCGTCGACTGATCATTGAAAAACTGGACCGAAAATGAAAAAGAATTTACACCTGGATCAACATATTAAACGCAAGTAGAATTTACCCGTTCCCTTTTCTCAAAAAAAGTTTTCTTTGGGAAAAAAGGAAAGCCTACTCGTATCCGGCCGGACAACTTTCTCGATCAGCCTTTTATTTTTTGTTTTATCTTATTTATTTTTTTATTTTATAAAATTATTATTATTGTTTTTTTTTATGCAGACGCTTGGCTGGATTATTAAATTTGCTTAATATACAATATAAAATTTACGTGTTATGAGGATTAATCTTTCAACCATTAAGATTCTTATTAAGTAGAATATAAAATTTACACGTAAGAAAATAAAATTAAAGCTCAGTGATCTTCTCGACCAAAAATCAACCTATCTTCTTCTTTATGTACACCATGAATCACCATTGCGGCAAATTGTGATAGAAGTTTGGAAAGGAATCGAAAATTTGTTTAAAAAAAGGAAATGAAATTAAAACCCAGTTGTCTTCTCGACCAAAAATCGACTTATCTACTTCTTTATATACACCACCAATCACTAATGCGGCGAATTGTGATAGCAGTTTGGAAGGGAACATTTGTTAAAATGTGTATAATCAACCAAAAGAAATGTTTATTTTCCTTGAAAACTGAATACCCTGGTGATAATAGAATTTGAATGATAACGTTCGGTTTGGCTAAAAATGCATTTTCTTAATAGGTTTTGACAAAAGATTTTAATTGTGACGCACCACTTCTTATGTCGAACACAGCTAAATTTCTTATCAAACAAAGGAGTCCTTTATCAATGTTTTACAAACTCCAGACCTAGGGAATAAGCATTTGTCCAACCACCTGTATAAGTGTATGTTTTTCCCATCGATTAGTGAAAAGCCTTTAGAAATTTATAGGAAAGTTATTTGCATCCAAAGACGTTCGGCATTTCGTCTTAATTTCCTTTAAAAGTCAATCTGTCAACTTAGCCTTGTTTGTGCAACTCCTGTATTTTTTGCCGTAGGATTAAACATCGGGTCGCCAGTGCCGTTTCACTACAACCCAGCACGGAATTTCGCAGGTGAGAATATTATCCATAAAATCAAGCTGTTCTTATGATGTCCTCTCCTACACAAGCTGCTTTTTAAAATTCGTTTGACTTTGGAAAATAACTATTTGAAAAACTGAGGACCAAAAATGAATCGAAAAGTGGACGGATTGTCTGCTAACGATGTCGGGTCTAATATCGATAATTCCTAACGGAGACTACCAGTAATTGCACTAAATCCCCCGAGAAGTAAGTCGCGAAAATATATATGGTCTAAGGCTGTCACGTGACCTTTAAACTGGTGCTAAATTCGCGATCACCTTGCAATTCCATCGGTTCTTCAATAATCCGTTCAGTTAACGAACGATAATTAAACATGTTCCAAATTAAAATCTATAATATTTCTTCCCAATCAAAAAACTTGATTTCGTTGCATTTAAATTCATCGGTTATTATGAATTTCTTTGAAATGTCTCTCGATAAACACGGATCGCGGAATAGATTACCGGACAGTTCTAGCCCCAAGAAAAATAATCACTGATATTTATTACTAAACGTCGTTTATACTTTACGTCGCCACTTTTTCTTAAAATAAATAAAGAAGTTTGTTTACAGGAGAGAAAGTTTAGAAGAGAGGCTTACAAAGTCAGCGGTCCTGGGGCCTTTTTCTCGAAAGTCCCGGAAACTTTTCGGGCCCGGAAAATGTTTTGTGCTTGTTGTGTTTGCATTTAAGATCAAAGTTTCAATAATTTTGAAAATAATACAATGAAACTAGCAGTTAACGAAGGTTTGTGGGCTAGGAATTGTGCTACTATTCAACAGGTTGTGGTTTTAAAATTTGCCTTCGGGCGCAAAAAGTTTCCGGGTCTTTCTAGAAAAGGGGCCCCTTCTCAGAAATGTCAATCATATTTGTTCACTACACATCACTTTTCCAATACCTCTCAAAGCAGTCTTGTTGCGAATGACTTAGTACATCAGAGCAGAACAATTTCCACCATTAAAAGATTGAAAAGCTGAACTGTCGAGCGCTTGACCTTGGTCAGAGCAAAAGGATTAACGCTATTAACGTCATATTTTCGTGATCGTAGATTGACTTCATCAACTTATTTCACACAAGAACATTTTTGCGGATCACTCCCCCGTCGAGGAGATTTTTTTGAAAATAACCCCCTCATTCATTTATTGCTACAAATTGGTCTGTTTATTTGTGTCACGCCCGCGGAATTTTGTATGAGTGCTTTTCTTTTTGCGTATTGAACCAGGTAGGAAAATGGTATAATTTAACCCCCCAACGGGTTAAAAAGAAAACTTGACAAAAAAGCAAAACATGAAAGAGTTCCTAGACGTGATCTATTCAAATAGCTAATTTGAATTAAGAACCCTTCGCTAGTGAAGACAGTAAACATTGTTTAAGGGTGACAGCCAGTCATAATTTTACTACCGGATTCACCGTAATTCTTTTAGGCCAGACGGGCATCAAATAAGGTTTGTATAAAGAGACAATGATAAATTTAATTGTGATGTTAAGCAGAGGAAATCAAGAAATAATGCAAATCAAACTGTATGATTTCTCGAATGCTCTTCTGCCTCTTAGTCCTGCTTTTTTAAACTAATGCACATGAAGTTTGTGAAAAGAATGAAAAGTGCTCAACATTTGTTAAAATTTCGTTTTTATATGATTACGTTTTAGTCATCGGACGTGATGTCATTGTGTGATGTTTAGATTTGTGCCGTGTTCATAAATTATTTTATGACCACGAAAGTCATAGTTTGGGCTATGCAAGCTTATGCAGGAAGTTGAAACATCGTCCTTGATCTGGTCCACTACAGTTCTAGATATAGAAACTGATAATCTGTCTACACGAAATTGAGCAACATTTTCAAGTGAGTTTGTGTGCTCATTTATAATCTCAATTTGGAAAGCAGACGATTGTCTCCTTAATTTGTCTACCAGGACAGATTACTTACATTGATGTATTATCTTAACAGACTGTCATGTTTCTTGAGGGATAATTCATCCTACAAGTTAAACTTAGTAGGTTACTCTTCTTGAATAATAATTCGCCTGTTTGGGTTCATGTTTACTGCGCATATAGTGATTCTAGGCGGACAACTTCTAATTGCGCATAAAGGATTAAGCAGAATGTCCCATAGGCTTGAAGAGTAAATAATTAGGACCAACGCACATCAATCCAACTGATTGCAAGCTTGCTGGCACTACGACAAAGAACAAATTTATCGGCCGTGTTCATCTAACAAAAACTTAGACCCTTGAATTTTAGACATTGGAAGTTAAGGGTGAAGTATAACAGATTGAACAGTTTCCATGGAAACCTTTAATGCCAAGGAAATGGCCATACCTCGAAAACTATTATTGGGCATTTGTTTGCTGCCATTATTAAAACATATACCGACAAAGAAGGTAGTGTTTATCTACCGAAAATAATGGAAAAATATATGTTACCAGCTGCCTTTTAAGTATTAGCATACCCTATGGGCCTATACACTTATGCTTGGTAACACCGAGTTAAGGACATTTTTAACGAAAAACGTCAATCAAATTTACCTAACGTTATCGCATTTTCAGCAGCGTTAATGGGCTTATTCGGATAATTTCTCTCTTCAAGTGAAGATATTGCCTGCGTACAGTCGCCTTCTCCGCTCAGGCTAGTAAAGAGATTAACTTTGGCGTCTGCGCGTAAAACTACAAACTTCATTTTGAGAGGATATATTTAGGTCTTGGCAACAATTTTATAATTTTAGGCAGTTCTTGGAACGGCGTTTTTCCACACCCTCTTCCCACTGTTGTGAAGTATTTTGAAGGCTATTTTAAAGATTTGTCTCACCTTTGTTTCGTATTTTCTTTCATTATCTGGATCAAGGTTAGTCTGGATTTTGTCTTCATGGGTGTTTGTTCTCATAGTTTAACTTAAGTACTAGAATTTATGCCTAATTCGCGAATTTACTTAATGCCACTTTGGCATTTTTCTTGGCTTGCCCTTGTCAGATGTGACCAGTTTTTCAAGGGTGGTCGTGTTTGTCAGTTTAGAGATGACCTCGTTGAAGTTCCTGTTTGGGTTTTGTTAACCAGCGTTTTAGTTTTTCATTGGTTTGTAGCCTCTCACTGATCGAAACCGTGTATGTTCACTCATACCATAACATTAACCACACCACGTTTGTCTAGCTTTTATTGTCACGGTCAACTAAGCCAAACGTGTCCAGCTTTGGCTATAGAAACCGCTACCATCTGGCTTGAGTCAAAGAGTCAAAGTTTTAACTGTGAGTGAGTAGCAAGACCAGGAGTAGGTGATAGCTGTGATAGCTGTTAGCAGTATTCCCTTTAAGCCCCTAAGAGCGATCAGCGTCAATGATTTGTAAAACAGAGTGGTCATGAGATACGGACATGATCACAGCAGGTTTGCTTGATAATTGATCAACTTCTCCCCACTACTTCTGTAAGTAATTAATAGGGGCAACAAATAAGAATTCAAATTTTGATCTTAGGATTGGAAGCGGTTAAATAAGTGAAGACGAAAATGTGAAGTAGACTCTCGTTACCTTCTTGCCGCGCAACCACCCCACCTCATACACCTAAATTACTGCAAAAACCATTTCTTCCATAACCCAAATCATTCATTTATCAAACTCTTCTTTTTCATTTCTTGGTAGCATTTTTCATAGCCGAGAGAGCAGCATTGATGTCAAGGAGTTATGGCGGACGACAACTCGACATCGCCGACTGCCCCCGTGGCTCCTTCCCTTACAGTCAGCGCTGTATTCATCATATCATACTTATTATTTTTGGTGATCACGGCTTTGGCAGGAAACGGTTTGTTAATAACAGTCATCATCAAAAGAGAACTTCTGCAAAAGGCTCACTATTACTTTATACTGAGTCTGGCGACTTCTGATTTCTTGAACGCTCTGTTAAAAATACCCACGACTATTCTTGGACGTTTCGACAGAAATTGGTACCCAAGCTACATCGTTTGCTACTTCACTACTCCTCTTGGGGTACTTTTTGGGGCGGCGTCCGTGTTCAGTTTATCATCGGTGGCTATCAATAGATACCTGGTAATATCGTCGCCTTTAAACTACTCTGATCGAATGCCGCCCTTCCTTGCGAAAGTCATCTTAGCTCTGATTTGGCTCGGGAGTTTTTGTCTTGCAATTCCACCCGTAATGTGGAGAGAAAAGGATGCTATCTGCCGAAGTGGAAGGATTTCCAAAGAACATTACACGTCAGAAGTACTTTACTTCTTTTTGGCGTTGTGGTTATTCGTGATCGTTATTCCGTCAATCATTATGTGCGTGTCATACGTGAAGATATTCCTCATAGCGCGATATCACGCGATACAAATTAACTCCCAGAATAACGCCACTGTAATGTGCCAGGAAACAAGAAAAAGGCGAAGAGACGTAAAAGCTGCAATTGTATTGGCAGTGATCGGAGGAATTTTTATCCTCTGTTGGTTCCCTTTCTTTGTTGTACAAACGGTTCATAAATTTGGTCAAGGAAACATCAGCCCTATTTACTTCAACATTTTTCTGTGCGTAATGTATTCAAACTCAGCATTAGATCCAGTTTTGTTGTTTTTGTTTAATGCTGAGATAAGGAGGAATTTGATACGACTATACTGCAGGGCATTCCAAAAGACAAATCCACAGGTCACGCAGTCAGAACTTTCGTCTTTCTTAACCAGGCAGGCCAACGAAGAACTTACAAGGGGAAGTACGTGAATTACATACACCACAAGTCTCTAACTTGTCATATGACGTTTATGTTAAGGAGGCTGTGTCAAGGCTTGTGAATGACAGTCACAGCTTCGTGTGAAGCAAATATGTCTTCCAAACATTGAATAAAACATTACAAATAGAAAAAATGAACTTTGAAAAACCAGAATTGAAATCAGTTTCAGTCCTCTGCAGGTTTGTCCATCCGTACTCCTTTTTGTATTCGCTGTATTATTTAGAACTTCTTTTCATATTTTGACCGTTTTTTTTGTTTTACCCAGTTTAGTGGCAGTTCCCCTTTTAATCTCGTATCACAGTTCTTATGACAAATCAAACACAAAGCGACTGGGACTAGCTTTTTACGTCGCACACTGTGTTTGACAAAGTATTGTTTAACGTCAAAGTCTGTCATTCCAGCCAGAGAAATACTACCATGTGAAAGCAGCGGAGATGTTCTTTGAAAAACTGGAATTGAACCAGCCCCAAAGGAAGACCAATATGACAGACGTCTGTAGTTAGAGTTAGAGTAAATTCAACTTTGACAAAGAAGTTGTCTTTAAATGCTTTTTCCGGTCTTTGTTTTTCGTCTTCTGCTTTCTTTACTCCTTTAAGCACAGTGCTAGGGGATATAATACCACTGTGATTCAATGTATTGGTATACCCTCCTAAGACGCTATAAAGTAATGCAAAAATATCTCCAATGTACTCCTTAGACATTAAGTATCCTCACCGTCTATTGACCACTCCAGAAAATACCGTAACATACCATAATGCTCTTTAATTGTCACCCCAAAATTTTGCATAAGCATTGTTTTCAGTTTCTTTAGAGTCATTTTAACCCCCAAGAGAAACTGACGACAATTCTTATGCAAAATTTGGGGGTGACAAACAAAGAGCATTATGGTATGTTATGGTATTTTCTGGAGTGGTCAATTACATGTGAGACACCCTTAGGGAATTCCTGTTAAAGGAACTTCCTTTTTACAGGTAAATGAGACTACAGAGAGATTATACATTCTTGGAAATACAGTCGACATGTTAGACCATCTCTAGAATACAAACACCTATCCACAATTTCCAGTCGAAGCAAAGTAGGTAATAAAACTATTGGTGAGGGAATTTTGGCAAGAGGAATGATTGCTTACAGACGGTTCGACGGCAGATTCTCTTTCACTCATTTAACCTTGCCGATTCTACGGAAGTGTAAGTTATCGCAAGAAGAATGTGAATTTTCGAAAATATCAGTTTAAAGTAACTTCGTTGTTGTATGTTAAAGGGGTCAAACTACAAAACATAAATACCATTCTCATAACAATGCAGTCAGCTTTGCTCCCTTACGTTTTATTAAAAAAATGTATTCATATATTTTCATGGTCTATAAATGGTTAAATTGGAGTTGCACAATCGTTCCTATTACGGGCACTTTACAGGAAGCCGCTGGACGAAAAACTGGATTTGCACAAATTTGTTCAAGGAAAATATGTAAATCTGGGGCAAAGATGGTAAATGCCACACTTGCATACCTATTTAAAACCTCGTGTATTATTGTATGTAAATTTGGCATTTACCATCTTTGCCCCTGAGTTACTGCTAAGTTTATTCATTTTTGCGACACATTTGCCATGAGAAAATTTGCAAGTCCATTTTTTTCGTCGTAGCATGAAAAAACAAAAAACGATTTCACTTCGCATAAGCAAATAATATCCTGAAAAACATAAGACATTTTGTGGATTAGTAAGTTTTATCATATTTGTCAGTCTAAGAGCATCATCAATAAAAAGACAATGGTGGTGGCGGGGAAGATTATAGCCGATGAAAATGGTATTGATGATAATAATGATGATAACGATGATGATGATGATAATGATGATGATGATAATGATGACGTACCTTTTGATGATTTAACGGCATCTCCTTTTCAATAAAACAATTCAAAGGAAAAAGCCCTTGATTCACTCACCTAGTTAAAACATAGCCCCCATTTGTTATCCCTAGTGAAGTTTCCGGTTGTTGCGCACCATTTTCCTTTCAGTCTCACGCCATCTGACGTACATGAATGGTATTCTTTGCCACGGAACGTGAATGGAAACATGCAGCAGGCTCCGCGCGCATTCCCATCGTGAGTGTCCACACCGCTCTCGCAATTCTCTAGAGAAAAGAGAAGCTGTTCATAACACGAAATATAAATTGAGAAAATTGTCCTCTTTCCCACCCACCTTACAAATGATCTCAAAAACAAGATTGCTCTTTTC